TTCCCCCCCAAGATTATTTGGCTATTCAGGATCTCTTGAGATCCCGTATGAATTTTAGGATCGATTTTTCTGTTTCTTAAGAAAATGCCACTGAAATTTTGATAGGTATTGCATTAAATCTGTAGATTGCTTTGGGTAGTACTGACATCTAACAACATTAAGTCTTTCAATTCATGAACATAGGATGTCTTCCATTTATTTGCGTCTTCTTCAGTTTTCTTCAGCAATATTTTGTAGTTTTCAGGATACAAGTCTTTTGCAGCCTTGTTTAAATTTATTCCTAAGTATTTTATTCTTTTTGATGCTAAGTGAAATAGTTTTCTTAATTTCATTTTCAGATTGTTCATTGCTAGTCTACAGAAACACAACTGATTTTTTTGTTGATTTTTAAAAATAAATAAATTATTTATTTATTTATTTTTGGCTGCGTTGGGTCTCTGTTGCTGTGTGCGGGCTTTCTCTAGTTGCAGTGAGCGGGGGCTACTCTTTGTTATGGTATGCGGGCTTCTCATTACAGTGGCTTCTCTTGCTGTGGAGCACGGCTCTAGGCCCGCAGGCTTCAGTAGTTCTGGCATGCGGGCTCAGTAGTTGTGGCTCGTGGGCTCTAGAGTGCAGGCTCAGTAGTTGTGGCACACAGGCTTAGCTGCTCCACGGCATGTGGGATCTTCCCAGACCAGGGCTCGAACCCATGTCCCCTGCATTAGCAGGCAGATTCTTTTTTTAAAAAATAAATTTATTTATTTATTTATATTTTTAATTTTTGGCTGCATTGGGTCTTCGTTGCTGCACGCAGGCTTTTCTAGTTGCGGCGAGTGGGGGCTACTCTTTGTTGTGATGTGCGGGCTTCTCATTGCGGTGGCTTCTCTTGTTGAGGAGCATGGGCTCTACATGCACGGGCTTCAGCAGTCGTGGCTCGTGAGGTCTAGAGTGCAAGCTCAGTAGCTGTGGCACACAGGCTTAGTTGCTCTGAGGCACATGGAATCTTCCCGGGCCAAGGCTTGAACCCATGTCCCCTGCATTGGCAGGCGGATTCTTAACCACTGCGCCACCAGGGAAGTTCCTGTTGATTTTTTTAATAGGAGAACTTTGCTGAATTTGTTTCTTAGTTCTAATAGTTTTCTTTTGGAATTAAAGCCATACTTGGGCTTCCCTGGTGGCGCAGTGGTTGAGAGTCCGCCTGCCGATGCAGGGGACGCAGGTTCGTGCCCCGGTCCGGGAAGATCCCACATGCCGCGGAGCGGCTGGGCCCGTGAGCCATGGCCGCCGAGCCTGCGCGTCTGGAGCCTGTGCTCCGCAACGGGAAAGGCCACAACAGTGAGAGGCCCGCAAACCAAAAAAAAAAAAAAAAAAAAAAAGCCCTACTTGATACTCATCAGATCTGATCAGGAGACTTTGTTTCCCCTGGATATTTCCTTCACTCATTTCCTAGTCTTCCTTGGATCCTTATGCTGCAGTCATCACTGAGCATGTCAGAGCATCAAATGCTGCCATCAATAGGATCTCCTGGGTTGATATTTGGATGGAAAGGTGGACTGGTAATTTTAGGATGTGTCTGATGGTTGGTACCCCAATGCGATTTCTTGTCCCTGCACTGTTTCTACAATCATGATATCCCACCAACATGGAAGTGAGTGGTTGTGGGGGGGCTTAGAAGCCAGAAGCTTGGGACTCCTTTGGGTCAACTTGGGCAGAGCCTTCTTTCTAGAACAGCATCTTGATACCTTTCCTGAGGAAGATGGAGTGGACTGACTCTGACTCTGGGCTTCCAACCCCATCATTTGCTACCTTAGAATCCCTGTATGATCAGCTGCGCAAGACAGTTTTATGGAGATGAACCTCTAGGGTCCAAACAACTTGATTTGGGTTCCAAAAAGCATTTGGTAGAAGAGCAAGGAGTATACACAAGTGACCATCATGAAAATGCAGTTACACCGTTCAACTGTGTGTCTTTCCAACTATGTCTCAACTCCACACTGATGCTATCTTCCAATTCCATCCACTCCAGGAAAGTTAAGCCTCCCAGTTTGAATTTCCATCTTTCTAGGGACCCACCCACCACTCATGGAATGATTTTATTCAGACATTTCTGACCTACCTCTTACAGAATCCTTTTCTACCAAACTGGTATAGTTTGACCTAGAGGATATTGCATTTTCTGGGCTAAATCCCATCATCTCCATCTCTCTGGGAGCATGCATCGGCCCTGAAAATCTTCAGGGGTGTGGATTTGCGGGCTACTCTCAGGAGTCTAGCCTGTAATTCTCTTTGACCAGGTGTCTTAAGAAACTTATCCCACCATTTCAGGATCATCTGATGCTTATATTCACTGTGACCCAGATCATCCTCCTGTCAAACACCATGAAGGTCCCTGTAAAGTGGCAAAGAGGACACCAGGATTCAAGGTGACAGCTGTGAAATGGGCAGCATAGAGATTAGCCCATAGCCCAACCTCATTTCAATTTCAAATTCTGTACAGCCCAGTAGTCTAGAACCATAGAGTCAGTGCCCTATCATGGAAATGGAAATTCTTAATTTGGGAGACTCTCACTGGAACAGAAGGATCAGAGAATTTCATGGTCTGTGACATGAGCTGTGACTGACCACCATCATCAGAAAAGAGCAGAAAGAGGAAGAGCAGATGAAGGATCGGACCACTGTTCACACAAACCTCTTTACTGTCCTGGGGGCTCCACCTCAGCCATGACCTCTCTCTTCCTAACTAGGGCTACCTGGATGCTGTTCCATGTGGCATGACAGCTTACCTAGGTGCTGTCGTCATCTTGCAGACCCTACCCAATGTCACAGCTGCACTATAAATTAGGGCATCATGAAGCTCTGAGACTCTGGAGACCCTAGGATCTTCTCCAGCCCCTCCTGGGCCTCTTGTAGACGCATGGGCATAATTTAGTTTCATAGCTCAGAACAATAACAATCTCAGAGAGTTTGATTCCCTGACCAAATAGGGCCTGTCTTCCAATGTCAAGGCAAAGCCACCATCAGATTAGTCAAGAGAATCATGAAAGACCTTTCCTGACTTCTCAGGTTCCTGAAGAGAATGATCTCAGATGCCTCTTCATACACCATGTGGAATTCTATTTTCTATCTTTTAGGTCAGTGGTTTACAAAGGACTTTCCTTGGAGCCCCCTCTAGGGAGTACCAGGGGAAGATGAAGCAAGAGGAACTCCAGCCCTCCTCCTACTTTTCTGGCTTTTCCAAGCAGTTCTACTTTTCTCTTACCTTTTGAGCTTCATCCTAATATTTTTGTTAGAACAATGGATTTCACAGCTGTTTTAAAAGGTTAGGAAACCAGTGATCCATTCCAAGGGCACTATTCTGTGGCTAACCCTCCCAGGAGTGAAGTATACCCACTGGTTTGTACTCTCACCACAGAAGGTTGGTACCTCTACTGGAATTCTGGCCACAAGTACATTATCTATCCTTTCCCCATCAGGATTTCTGGGCAGTAATCCTCTGGACAGAGGGCAGGATTCTGCTGAAACACACTCTGTCTGTCCCATATAAGCCACAGCTCCTGCTCTCCACACAGACACAGCATTAACAGGCAGGCGACAGATACCAAGGTACCCAGGGCAGCCTAAGCTGAACCCCACACCATCCAGGTGAAATATGGACACACACACATAGCCTTGTTGGAGATTCCCTCCACCGCTAATTTTGGCCTTTTCACTTTCCTTTTCACTGTCACCCAGGCTTCAGTCTATGACCTTCACCAGCCTTGTTTCCTTTGCACTCAGGATCCAAGGACCCCCATCAGCCTGGCCAAGCTTGTCAAAGAGTGAAGGAGTTTGGGATGGGTTTTCTTGGGCTTCAGGATCTCAGAGGTGAAGTCTGAAGCCAGATTCCCACCCACTCTTTCTCTCCCAACTTCTATTACGCCGATGAAGCCCCATCTCAAAATCAGAGACTTACCTTGGTGCAGATGAGAGAGGCTTTGACAGCAGGACCTGTGGGCTGGGCTCCTCTATCACACACTCCTGGATAGTGCTCCTGAGGCTCGACTTGCTGGATGTACAGCTAAGCCCTGGTTTCCAGCCCCAGCTCTCCAGCTTTCTCCAAGGTCATGGGGCCCAGCTTACGGCCCCTCTCTGGGCACCTCTACCATTCCCATAGGAAGGGTGGACACAGGGAAGGATCCTCAGGTGGCCATCCAGGTCTATAGGCAGAACCTGTTCTCCCATAGCATGAACACCTGGGGAGAGATCAAGGCAGGAAAACAGGGGAAGTCAGAGAGGAGGCAGCAGGGCTCAGTGAGGGCCCTGGAAGCTCAGTGAGGGAATAAGGGAGGTAAGGAAAGGGGTCATGAGTTCAGTAAGCATAGTGGGCAAAATGCCAATGTTAGAGGATCAGGAACCCAAGCTTCCTGTTCTCTTTAGGCCTTTGGGAGGGGCACGCAGGTTGAGTTGGGTGCTGGAGTTGGGGATTCATCATTCCAGTGCTCATGGTCTGGGGTTGAGGCAGTGCAATGAGACACTGCTTTCTGTGCTGTTTTTTTTTTTGACCCAGAATCCTGGACTCTAGCCACTGCCATCAGGCTTATCGGGAGGGTGTACTTATCTTCTCCAGACCCAGTATGAATACAAGGACTCCTCTGAGGACTCCCCTCCCTTAATAGGGCTGAAATGGTCCAAAATAGCATTTCCCAGACTCTAAGAACAGAAAGGTCAAACATATAAAATGATGCATGTAGGGCTCTATCCAACCAAAAATATGGACCAAATCACTTCCCACAAGAGCAACAATGAGTTCCAGGACCCAGGTTTTCCTGATGGAAATCTGGAGTTTCTCTCCTCCAGATCTGTCTGTAGGTCATCCTGCCCCTCAAAGAAACCCAACCTTGTGGCCCCAAGTGAGTAGGGCCTGCTCACTCACCTCTTCCCAGAGCTAGACCGTGGTTAACTACCTTCCTAGGCTCCTCATGTTACTCTGGGGAGTCCAAGAGGCCTTAGGGTTCCCAGGTGACTCCTGGATTTGTCCCCAGAGGACCGAAAACTGTTTGTGGGTATGCTGGGCAAGCAGCAGGGTGAGGAGGACGTCAGACGCCTGTTCCAGCCCTTTGGCCACATCGAGGAGTGCACCGTCTTGCGGAGCCCCGATGGCACCAGTAAAGGTGACTTGAGCTGACCCCTGGATTTCCTGATGACCCCGCCTCACTCCGGACCACATGACCCTTTGGCCTCTGTGACCTGAGCCACCTCTATCCTGCCCCAGGCTGTGCCTTTGTGAAGTTCGGGAGTCAAGGGGAAGCTCAGGCGGCCATCCAGAGTCTGCACGGCAGCAGGACCATGGCGGTGAGGGCGGGCGCCGGGGCCCGGGGTGAGACCAGGGGTCTGGGGACTGGCTCCTCTTCCCCACATGCCGGGGAAAGGGCCTGAGGAGCAAGGCCCTCGGCCCAGGGCCCGGGCTGAGGTCTAGACCCGTCCTTGCAGCCTTCCCTGCCTTACCCAGGGCGCCTCGTCCAGCCTCGTGGTCAAGCTGGCGGACACGGACCGCGAGCGCGCGCTGCGGCGGATGCAGCAGATGGCGGGCCAGCTGAGTGCTTTGCAGCCGGCGCCGCTGCCGCTGGGGGCCTGCGGAGCCTACACCACCGCTGTAAGCGCCTGGCCCGGCGGGCGCGAGCGGGCAGCGGGTGACGGGGGATGGGGCGCCGGGGCAGATGCCCGCCGCTGGGCCCTCCACACCCGGCCTTCTTCCCTTCCAAAGATCCTGCAGCACCAGGCGGCCCTACTGGCGGCGGCGCAGGGCCCGGGCCTCGGCCCGGTGGCCGCAGTGGCGGCACAGATGCAGCACGTGGCGGCCTTCAGCCTGGTAGCCGCGCCGCTTTTGCCGGCTGCAGGTACTGCGCGCAGGGGGCGGGGCCCGCGGCGGGGGCGGGGCGAGGCGGGGCGAGGCGGGGCTGCGGCCTGACTCTTCCACTTCCTCGCCACCTGCAGCCAATTCCCCGCAGGGCGGCGGCCCTAGCACGCTTCCGGGCCTCCCGGCGCCCATCGGGGTCAATGGATTCGGCCCCCTGGCCCCCCAGACCAACGGGCAACCTGGCTCGGACAGTCTCTACAATAACGGGCTCTCTCCTTACCCAGGTGGGCCCCCCCCACCCGCTCCGCCCAAATCTCCCCCAAAATGGAGTGGGGAGCGGGGGTCGGGGTGGGGGCGGGTGGCAGGGCCTGGTCTCCTTGAGAAGGGACTCCTCCTCCTTCCCTGCTGCCTCTCACAGCCTCCCTTTACACTCCCTGCGTTCTCACCTTACCCTGCCCGCCCGCCAGCCCACCTTCACTGTGGGCCTTGCGCCCCTCTCTCCCCAGCCCAGAGTCCCGGCGTGGCTGACCCCCTGCAGCAGGCCTACGCTGGGATGCACCACTACGCAGGTTTCACTTGGCGCTACGCGGCCTGGGGGGTTTGAAGGGCCCCAGAAAGTAATAGGGAGATTTGGGGGTGGGGGGGTTAGGCTCTGTGCTAAGGAGTCCGACCCTCCTTTCGCCCACCCTTGGACCCAGTACGACCTTTCTAGGGGTGAGGGTTACTGTGCACTGGCTGAGTTGGTCAAAGGTGGCCAGGCAGATGGGGCCCTGATTGGGGGTGGCTCCTGGGGGTCACTGCCCACTCCCACCTCTGTCTCCAGCAGCCTATCCGTCGGCCTATGCCCCAGTGAGCACAACTTTTCCCCAGCAGCCTTCAGGCCTGCCCCAGCAGCAAAGAGAAGGTGAGGGACAGGGGTCTGGAGATCAGGGCCTGGTGGGGCTGGACTCAGGATTCCTCCCCTGAACCAGCCTGCTCCTGTTCCTGCAGGCCCCGAAGGCTGTAACCTCTTCATCTATCACCTGCCTCAGGAGTTTGGTGATGCAGAACTCATCCAGACATTCCTGCCCTTTGGAGCCGTTGTCTCTGCCAAAGTCTTTGTGGATCGAGCCACCAACCAGAGCAAGTGTTTCGGTGAGCTGAGCCCCATCCCTAGGCCTCTCCCACTCCCAACTTCGAGATTCCTTACAGACCCTAAGACTGTACCTCCGGAAGTCAGTGACTCCTAGAAACTGAGTGTATAGCGCTCAACAGTCACAGACCAGTGATGAGGCTAAGCCCAGACAAGGGACAAGTCTATTTCAGGTTCACCTGGGAAGGTCAGGTGTCTGGTAGATCTTCAACCAGGTTAGGCTTTAGAGTCTAGCCAGGGCAGGTGGAGTCTGGGTCTGGGACCAGAGATCCCCTCCAACTGCAATTCAGAGGACCAGAATGGGGGCTGTGGAGAGAGAGAGTTTTCCCACACCAGGGAAAGACAGGGAAACACCCCATCAACACACTACCTGCCTCCCCAATACACACACTCAGAATTACCTCCTGTCCTTCCAAGAATCACACGTTTAGGAAACTCAGGCCACTTGCCTGTGTAAGTACGAGCATGTGTCCGTGTGTGTGCACACGTGCAAACACTGGAGGGTGGAGGAGTACTGATTGATGGAACTGGCCTGAGGGGGCAAGGAGAAGGGGCTGGTCATAGAGAAAGGAGGCCCTGCCACTCAGAGTTCCCAGCTAACCTCTCTGCACACACCCTCCAGGGTTTGTTAGCTTTGACAATCCAACCAGTGCCCAGACAGCTATTCAGGCCATGAATGGCTTTCAGATTGGCATGAAGAGGCTCAAGGTCCAGCTAAAGAGGCCCAAGGATGCCAACCGGCCTTACTGATCTACTCTCACTGACCAGCCACAGAAAGGTGAGTCCTTAGTGGACCCCCGGCAGATGGGGCCTGAGTGATGGAGGCGCTCTCAGCTTTGATATTCCTTTTGGGATGCTGGGGGCACTGACCCCTGAAAAAGTCTGGGAGAGAAGAGCCAGGAGTTAGGAGGAATCCTCAGTCTGAGGCTGTGTTTTTCCTTCAGTCTAAGGACTGAGATAAATTAGACAACATTCCTGCCCCCACAGTCTGGGAGAGACAATTACAGTAAGATCCAACCAGTTCGTTCCACTCCAGAGATAGCCACAGGGGACCATAGTAGAGAATTCCTGTGTGGGGAAGGCAGGGGGGTGGAGAACGAGACTAGAAAAGTAGGTTTGTGCTAGCTGTGAAGGGTCTTAAAGGCCATGAGTTTGGACTTTATCCTGAAGATGGTAGAGGACCACTGAGGAGTTTAAGCAAAGAAGGGACAGGATGTAAGGGCTGGGATAATGGCAGTGAACATGGAGATGAGGAGAGAAGCAAATACACTGAAGATGCAGGATCTACAGGGTGTGGTGGTGATGGGGAGGGCTATGACAAGCTCTCAGGGCCGGCTGCCTGCGACTTTTAGAGATTGCTGTCTCAGAAGATCCACAGGACCCTGCCTCACTTGAACTACCCCCAGGGAGCACTCTGGAGGGGGTGCTGGGCTGAGGTCATCTGCCCAGGACCCAGGGTCTGGCTTCAGTGGAAGCCTGAGGTCCAGCCACTCACCTGAGCCTGAGGTCCAGCCACTCACCTGTCACGGATAGGGCAAGCTGCTCTTCTTGTCTTGCCCTCCAGAGTGATTTTTTCCTTTTTTTCCCCTTTCTCTCTCCTTATCAATTAATACCCAACATTGGAAACTGAAGAGTGAGAAGAAAGGAGAAGAAAAGCACAGAAATGCTTGAGCAGCCCTTCCTGAAGGAGCAGCCACAGATGGAGGTGGACCCAAGGCCAGTGCCTGGGCTCAGGCCACTTTAAGGATTGTTTTCACCAAGTGGGTTGTTCTGTGCCTGTGATGTAGAGCTCAGGCTGGCAAGGCAGCTGGGGCTGGCTGAGGAGTGACTGTCTAGGGGAACCAGCAGAGGGCCTTGGGGGGTGCCAAGGGCTTCTCCACAAGGGAAGCCCAGATTTACTTCTTTCAAAATCATATCATTCCTTAGAGTTTAGGGACCAAAGGACTATTGCTTTTTAAAGAATTATATATATATATATATATATATATATATATATATATATATATATATATATATAAATTAAAACAAAGAAACAAAAAAATCACAAGAGAAACAAAAAAGACAGTATAGAGTCTAATAAAAGCTGCCTTTAAATATCCCTAGGAGGCAGGGTGAAGGAGACCCTTGAAGGCCCCAGCCTAGGCAGAGGAAGGCTGTGGAAAGATTGTTCTGTGTCTCATTCCCTCTTAACGCCCCCCACCTCCACCTCACCACCTTTTAAAAATAATGAAGGACTTGAGGTCTGGGCTCATATGCAGGTAACAAGAGAGTTATTGAAGCAGTGAACCCACAGTTCCCAAACTCAGAGAGCATCCATGAAGAGGCCTCAAGGAGGAACTCTGGCCTGCCCTGCTCTTTGCCACCCCGAAAAACCCCTTAAGCCAGCAGGGGTGGGAATCTGCCTTTCCTTCTTGACAGCCTTTCCCGTGGAACCACTGCTTCCTCAGGCAGGAAGAAAGGGAGTTTGGACTGCCCCAGCCTTTCCCTTCCCCATCCAGTTAGACAGAGGCCCTGCCTTTGGCTGAGCCGAGACACCTCCTGTTTCCCCTCACCTTGAGCCAGCCCCAGTGTCCCCTTGCTCCAGACCACCTTCTGTCTCTAAGTTTGCCCACCGGTAAAGTAGATTCAGGATATATGTAGAGGGCTGTGACAACAGACTTGGAAGGTTCGCTACTGTATATACTGCCATTGAGAAGGGGATAATTTTCAATATGTAGAAGCTTCAGAATTTAGAGGTCCCTCTTTACCCAGGACCTGGGAGGGAAGTAGATGTTTTGCCAAAATACTTCATCATTCCTTTAAAAACTACATCTTTCCTATGCAAGAGTGTCTCAATGTGCTTATCCAAGGTGCTTCTAGATGGTGAGCAGTGTTCAGCTTAGAAGTGGTGTGTGCTCTGTCTGTCTGTCTTTGTCTGTCTGTTGTATACAGTGGGTACCATATAAAGCTGATCGATGGTGGTGCTTCCTGCCTGCTTCTGTGAGATGGGCAAAAGATTCAGCTTAGAGCACCATGACTCACTTGCCTTGGTCAGCCTTTCCTGGGCCTGCAGGGCCTTGCACATAACTTTTCCTAGGAGGATAATTTTCCCTCTACCCCACAGACCTGGATCAAACTAGTCTGGGGCCCCAGCTGTGTGGTGGGCACTCTGGTCCCTAGATGTTGCTGAGACTGGAGGCCTCTGATCTGATATCACATCAGACAATAAAGCATGTGGGGGCGGGGGCGGCGGGTTCCTCCTTAATAAGAGTTTCTAAGAAAATTTGTTCCCACCTGTTCCTCTGTCTTTGACTCGTTTTTGGAGGGAATGGAATGAAAAATAACATTGCCAGGTAAGGTGTGGTAGTTCACAGGGCTGACACGTAGACTGACCACCCTGGACACAGATGGGAATGTTAACACCTGCACATTCAAACAGCTGTTCACATGGAGGCATAGAGACCCATCACTGCTAGGTGCTAAGCACTCAGAGTTGGGGGAAGGACGGTCCGATAATGTAGTTATAATGGAGGGCCCCAGAGAGTCTGTGATAGCAAGAACAGTACCGAATTCAGACTTCACTGGTAAGGCAGGTCAGAGAAAGGTTTACTGAAGAAGATGAAGGAGGGGAAGGGTCTTCGAGAATGAACTGGCACATAGGCACAAAGCCATTTGGACAGCCGCATCATGCTGATAAGTTATTAGCAAGAAATCATAATGATTACCGTTTATGCAGTGCCAATTATGGGGCAGACAGTGGGCACCAAGATAAGACCCTTTCCCATTTCTAACTCTACCCTGAACCTTAACTCATCAAGTCACGTCAAGACACAAACCAAAATGGCATTTGAAGTATCTTGTTTCATGGTTAGGGGCTGGCAGACCATGTATAAATGCTGCAGAGGTTGGCAGGATCTAGATCAGGGGTCGGCAAACTATGGCCTGTGGGCAAATCTGGCCTACAGCCTGCTTTTGTATGGCCTACAAATTATGTTTTTTTACATTTTTAAAGGGCTGTAAAGATAAAACAAAAAAGAATATGAGACAGAGACCATATGTGGCCCACAAAGCCTAAAAGATTTACCTGGTCCTTTAGATAAAATGTTTGCTGATCCCTATAAGCTCATGGAAGACGTGTATAATGTCTAATGAGTTTAAGCAACAATGGTGTTTGTGTCTCTGTTGTGTGTGCATGTGTTAGTCCAAATCCTTTCAGCTGCAAGTGTCAAAAACCCAACTCAAACATGTTTAAGCCAATAGGAAATTAGTTGGCTTACTTAATTGATAAATCAAAGGATGTATCTACCTTTAGGCATGGATTGATCTAGGGGTTCAAATGATGATGTCTCCATCTCTCGGCTCTGCTCCCTTCTATTTAGTGGCCTCGCTAGTTCCAGCTCTAAAGACCTTGGGAGGACTTTGGCCAGAATGGACATGTGGCTACCTCTAGGGTGGAAGAGTAGGCCACCGTAATTGACAACTTCACAAGGACTGTGTGGAGGGGAGAACTGGGTCTTCAAAAGAAGGGATGATGGGCAGATAAGCAATTTGCATCCTCAGTATTCCTCCCCTTTATTGTTCACCTTCCACCTATACTTTTCTTGACAAACATACACTTTCAAAAATGTGCCTGCCTAACAATGCAATGTTCCTAGGCTCAACAAAAAACAGTCACCCACTTCTGAATAGGAGACAAAACAGAATCATGCCCAGTTGCTTTATTGAGCCCTCAGTCCAGGGTCCAAAGGGACAAAGGTGATGTGCAATTCTTGATCAGGTCTGGATATAATTTCTTGTGATTTTGCAATCTCTGGCTTAAAGATAAATTTAGCTACCCCTACATAACCAATATGGAGAGAAATAGGGTAACCATTTAAAAAAAAACAAAAAAAACCCCTTCCATTTGGAATAGGGGAGAAGAGAAAACAATAGTCACTAATCTATAGCATATAGCACATCCTTCTGGACAGTGGAGCAAGTTTCTTCATCAACAAAACTAATCGCTTTTGGTCCTTTCCACTGGGAAGTATCTCCCTCATTTATGGACAGCCCTGAGAAGATACCTCTTCTGGAATTGAATCATCCACCCTCCCTTTAGACATGGGTTTGGACCTAAAGATTGCCTTAGAGATTATGCCTTCCCAGATCCCCAATTGCCTGGTGAGGATTCTCTGGACAATTCCTTTCAAACCAAGTGATTTGATTCCTGGGCTCTCTGTGAGCTAGTAACCATCGTCAAGAATCTTGCTGAGTTCTTGTCCTTGAGTCTGGATTTGGCCCTTGTGGTTTCTGTCTCTTAGCAACAGGTCACACTTAGCCCATTCCCCTCCCCCTCAGCTTCACGGTTTCCACAATAGCCTGTCTGTGATAATAAGTCAACCTTAATCTGCTCAGTGCCCTCAGAGAGAGATTACCTATATAACACTTGGCTGGCTCACGCTCCAGTGACCCTGACTAGATAGTCAAAATCCCTAAGTGGTACTGGCTCCTAGGTCTCAGCCCCAAGGCAATGCTTAGGACAGAAGTGAGGCAACCACACAAGCACTCACTCTGGACAATCTGCAGCTTGCTCCACTCCTCGCCCTCTGGTATGGTCCATTATTACACTAAGGCCACATCACCAAAGCACTCCTGAGAAGAGTCTGTCAGTGGACATTGAATTGGGGGGCCCTCTGAGAACTTGTTTAACTTGGGGACTGTGGGCAGAGTCTTCAGCCTTCAGGAGGGCCCCCGGAATTTCTCTCTGTCTCTCTGGATGCAACCTGGGTGTCTTGGATACAGAGAGAAAAGACCTTTGGTCTGAGATGGGACTGACAACCTCTGACCTCAGAGCAGCTCTGGATCTACTGTGTGCTCTGACCAGACCGGGGTCTCACCTCTGCCTCAGTGGAACGGAACATGCATGTAATACCCTCCAAAAGAGGGTACTAAGGTCAGGGAGGTCACAGAATCTCTCTTTATCTTTTCCAGCTTTGTTTGCAATCTTTGGCATCCACTGTCCTCACTGTACCTGCCTGCACTGTGACACAGCCAAATCCAGCAGGGATTCAGAGGCTGTCTTGGGCCTGTGCGCCTCCCTCAGCCAGTATATTTGCTCAAGCATGTTACACAGTCCTGTGTTCTTTGGGAGAACCAATGAAGGAATAAACCTCATGGGCTCAGGAAGCTCAGAGCCAAAGCGGATTCTGTAGCTGCCCTTCGAGCTTGAGCCACGTGAGGTCCACAAAGAGTTGACCAAGTCTGCGCCAAGTGCAAACTCAGAAAGGGTGGAGAGCTACTCTTTTTCTCCCCAACCCCGCTTCAGACACTGCCATCACAGTATGGCAGCCTGGGCTGATCAGAGCCTTTCATTGGCCGTCTGTAGAGGGGACTTTGAACTTCCATGCTCTAGCCTGCTGCCCTCTAGTGGCCTAAGAGCACAGAGACCCAGAAGGCAGAGCAAGCTGCAAGCCTGGGTTTGACTCTTCCAAAGGTAAGTCTTAGGTACCCAGGAGAAAATGCAGGGAACCACAGAAAGAGCCTGAGAAAATTAACCTCAGCTTCTTCTAGGGAGTATGCCAGAAATGAGCTGACCCTGCACCCTTGCCACCGGGCCTCTGACAGGAATCCAGCAGCCTGGGCTGGATTTCCTGCATGTGAGCAGGAAAAATCAGTTGTGCCCTCAGGACCTTCTTGCTACCCCACTGTTGGGACTCAGTGTTGGGATGGGGGCTTTGATTGCGGCTCCATATCTTAATGCAAGTGCTCTAGAAAGCAGACTCTGAGGCAAGGATTAAAGTGCTCACACTCTTTGGGGAGACGGAAGCCCAGGATAATGAGAGGGGAGAAGAGACATGTGGCAGGGGAGAAAGATGTGAAGCAATGCAAGACAACATATTACTGTGGTGGCCACTGTTTCACATGAGCTGTGAGGAGAGAACAGGTGACTTGACAGGACTGTTTGCTAAAGCACATGGTGTTTGCAGGG